AAATAAATGAACTTTTCCACGACATTCTAATTTATTGAGATGCACCTGTATTTGCACCAAAAAAAAAAGTTGACAAAACGAGTGACAAAAGAAATACGTTTTTACCGTCTGATGTGCCTGTTTATTTAAGCATTTGTGAGATAAAATTTAAAAAAAGGAAATAGTCACATTGACTGAAATAAATGAACTTTTCCACGACATTCTAATTTATTGAGATGCACCTGTATTTGCACCAAAAAAAAAAAGTTGACAAAACGAGTTGAAATACGTTTTTACCGTCTGATGTGCCTTGTGAGATATAATTTTATATATTTTATGAGATATAAATTTGCTGTTAAGAGAAATAAAATTGCAATTATAAGAAATAAACAGATAATATTATTTATTTGTAGTGAATAATTTTTATTTGTGTCCATCAAATTCCAAATAATAAAAATGCCAAAAAAAAACCCCACATGATTAATGAATAAACTCTTTTGTTCAAAAGTCTGAGGTCAGTGAGTTGAGATATAAATTTGCTGTTAAGAGAAATAAAATTGCAATTATAAGAAATAAACAGATAATATTATTTATTTGTAGTGAATAATTTTTATTTGTGTCCATCAAATTCCAAATAATAAAAATGCCAAAAAAAAAACACGATTAATGAATAAACTCTTTTGCTCAAAAGTCTGAGGTCAGTGAGTTTATTTATTTATTTATTTATTTATTTATTCAGCAGGAATTAATTAAACTGATCAAAAGTGACAGTAAAAACTTTACATCGTTACAAAATATTTTTTTCTCTCTTTCTATTCATCAAGGAATCCTGAAAAAGAGTATCACTTTTCATAAAAATATTAACCAGCACAACTGTTTTCAACATAATAATAAGAAAATTATAATAAGAAGAAATGTTTCTTGATCAGCATATTAGAATGATTTCTGAAGGATCATGTGACACTGAAGAATGGAGTAACAATTCTCAAATTTAGCTTTGATCACAGGAATAAATAGAAAACGTATTAAAATTATAATAATGTTTCATAATATTACAGCTTTTACTTTCTTTTTGATCAAATAAATGTAGCCTTGGTGAGCATAAGAGGCTTCTTTCAGGAACATTAAAAAAATCTAAACTTTTTGAACTGTAGTTTTAGTTTTTAGTTGTTGTTTTGTTTTTACTCATATGCTGTGACCATTACCATAATGTAAAATTATTAATGTTGTGTATGATTTTTGCTCATACCATCCAGCCATAACAGTAGACAGAAGCCTGTGTTCACTATAGTATATATGAAGAGATCGGACTTATCTGCAATAAGGAGGGGAAAACAGCAGCACTGGGGAGAATCAGAGGGCACTATGGGAAAATGTGGCGGTGGGAGGACATGGTCCACTTCAGTCAGTGTTTGTTTTGTTTTTGACGGGAGTGAGAGGGACAGCAGGGTGGATCCAGTATAAAAACACATGGTGAAACCCAGAGGATCAGCCTGAGCATGCAGCGGTCATTACCTGAGCTGTACACAAACGGGCCTTTGGCTGCAGAAATAACCAGGTCAAGATAGAAAACAATGAATGCAGGACACAAACGCTCATACCAACAGCTGCAGTGTTTCAGATTTCAGTTTAGATCACTGAGTGCTTATGAATGTGTGTGGTATTAGGCCCGAAACAAAGTACTCTATGCAAATATGTACAGTATACACAAAGTGGTTTTAGAAACACAAGCTGTTTTTTTCATTCTGAAAATTTCCAGTTTTTGCTACTGAAGTTCAAATCATATATATATTTTTACAACATTTTTGTCTAAATGTCGTCATACAAGTTCAAAGAAGGAAGGATCGCAAAACTAATCACATGGTCTTTAGGCAAACTAGTGAAAAAATGTTAAAATCACTAAAGAAATAGTTCACCCAAAACCTTAAAATTTGCAGAAAATTTTCTTTCTTTCTAGCTTCTTCATTGGAACAGATTTGGAAAAATGTAGCATTACATTACTTGCTGACCAATGGATCCTCTGCAGTGAATGGGTGCCGTCAGAATGAGAATCCAAAACAGCTGATAAAAACATCACAAAAATCCACAAGTAACTGACACCAATTGAGTCCAGTCCATCAATTAACATCATATGAAGTGAAAAACTGCATGTTTATAATAAACAAATCCATCATATAGGTGTTCTCTCATTCTGACGGCACCCATTCACTGCAGAGGATGCATTGGTGAGTAAGTAATGCAATACACAACATTTTTGGGTGAACTATTCCTATACTCGCAATACTTGCAACTTTGCTTAATCACTATCAAAATGATCAGGAATATATTGTGAATATTCAGCATACTGCCCAAATAACATATCCAGTTTAATGAAAGCTGGCATTTGCGCTTGCATACAACTGTAGAGTACATTAATGGAATAAGACTTTAGAAAAGATGCTTAGTTTTGTTATGTGACAGGAAAATCCACATTCTGCAGTGCAAGCAGTTATTATTATATACAAAAATGCTTCACGGTTATATATGAGCAGTACATTTATCTGAAATGTTCTCTTATATGTTTCTGCTTTGTGTGCATAAAAGATGTGGGCGAGTGAGACCGAGAGGGAGATAGAGAGAGAGAGAGACATACTCTGCAGTCTGCGTGTGGGACTGTCTCCATGCAGCGCTCGTCTCTGAAGGCAGGGGGAGCTCTTCGGTAGGGGTACCGAAGAGACGTCATGTGTTTGTAGCTTATACCAGTGCGGCTCATCATCCAGCAGCGCTGTTTCCAGCTCTATGAGGATCTACACACAAACGTTTGCTTCACATTCAAATGCTTGACAACATATCCAGTTTATCCCATATACAAATTCAGTGCATGTCACTGAATCTCTAAATGTGAGATTTGTAATGCGACTCTGCATGGTTCAACAACAGCTTTAACAACTTAATATTGTAGATCCATTACTAAATGATCATTAGACTACAACAATAACACATATGCATTAAAAATATATTAATTATGACAAAAAATCATTCTGATGTTTAGCATTACTATTGTTGTTAAGCAAACATTTTTGTGATGCAAACTGTCACTAGTCAGATCTATTTTTGCAGCGAGATCAGTTTTAGAGTTTCAGTGTTGGCACACAAATACAAAAAAAGTGATAAAGTGGTAGAAGCCGCCGAAACCTCTAAATATTTGAGACCATGATTCATCTTGACCTCACCTCTCCCAAGAACTCACTCTCCTCCTCTCGCACCCGGGCCTGGTCCCACAGCGTGATCTCCAGCATGCGTTCCCTGAACTCCCGCCGGTGGACGGGGGAATACATAAAGGTCTGGTTCCATTTGGGCTCTAGTGATTTCTTTACTGTTTTTGTTCTTCTTTTGCTTTTGTCACTGGAGAAACAATGATTCAAACTGTTTTTATTTACCATCATGGTAAAAGAACCTTGGAACAAACACTGATATCAACAAGGTGAAGAATGCCATGGGAATATGGGAATGACGAGCGGGACACGAAATATCTACTTACTCAATTTCTGAAATAGGACATATGCAACGATAAACTTTTTCAAAAGCAGTAGGCAACATTGTTGCCACATTACCACACTATGTTCAATGTTTAATTCAGTGAGTGGCATTCAGTAGCCATCTGTTATTTTAACTACATTTGTATCCAGTTTTGTATTAAAATCTGTGTCTGAAATCTTGGAAGTCCAATCATATAAGTAAAAAAAAAAAAAAGTTTCATATTGATTGAATTGCATTGTGGGACATAGCATCCCATAGGATTATTACGGTTAACTGTTACTGTTTTTATTGATTGAAATAAAGCTGAAATCAAATAAAAATATAAATACTAGATGAAAAACTAAACAAAAATGAGAAATGTTGCCTTAGCAACTAACTGAAATTTTAAGTTGTAGTTTAAGCATTAAAATTATTAACTGTAAATAAATAAAAACTCAAACAAATAAATTAATAAATAAAAAATAGAAATATTAATATTTTCAAAATAAAAAAACAAAATAAAAAAATTACAAAGACACATAACAACATTTAAAAAAATAAAAATAAACAAATTAAAATGAAAACTGAAAATATAAAAATAAAATCTAATTCAAATTATTAATAACAAGTGTAACAGAATATAAATAATACTAACATTATACTGGTATTTCAGTGTACTTTTTTGAAAATTTTTGCCAAATAAGTCAGAAATATATAAACTTTGCATACTGTGCACAATATACATATCACATACGGCAAAAATAGTGTGATTAATAAGGTAGTATGCCATTCTGAACATGGCCATACCAATTTTTTGTTTGTTTTGTCTTGCACAGTGGCATAAAAGTAACTGCCCCAATCTCACCTTCTGTCAGGGAGGAAGTAGATCTTCACGTAAGGATTGAGTGGTCGGCCGTCTTCCCTTGAAGGCAGGTCCTTTGCACCCAGTATGGTGACGATTAGCTGATGGCCGACTTTGTCATACCAAAGTTTGACCTGCAGGGGGACAAACATCAGAGCCTGTTTGAGAAGAAAAGGGACTTCTCAGACTTCGCATCATAAGCTGCTTCATTTAAACACATTAAGAAAAGAGAGTTTGATTGTATTGTAGTATTGCACATGCTAAGATGATAGACCAAGCTTGGTACTCAGACAAGTATGGACGTGACAGAAAAATACTTACAAGTCAAACACACACAGAAACAACACAAACTTAACAAATAAAACGCTAGATCTTCTAAGCCAGAGCCCATACTTGCTTGTAGTAATAGCAAAATAACTGTCTATAAAGTAAATGCCTACAAATGGCTCAGGCTGCCTACAAATGTTTAAAACATGCAACGAAGGACGTTCCATACTTTAAGTAAAAAAAAAAAAAAACAAGACAAAGGAGAGCTGGGTCAAACAAATTGTACCATTAAACAATCCCCAACAGAACCAGCGGTTGCTGTGCATTAAGGACGATAATGTTGTCCAAAATAGAAAATCTGAAATATTGCTGAGGGAAAACGTCTGAAATGTGTAGCTATAGGTATAATGTTAACATTAACAATGCATTGTTTGGTTTTTTTGCCGTGAGTTTTTGCTATAAACAACATTAAAATCATTCACACCATGTTTCTTCAGGTACAAGTGGGTACAATTTGCTTATTTCACACATCTCTGCACGTGAGAAAATCAATAAAACCAGTAAAACAGGGACTGATAAAGGTGCCGTAAAATTATATTAGACATTTTGCAAACTTGAGCTAGACTTATAAACTGAAATAGCCCTTTATCCAATTCCAGTCTCCAAAAGCATGCCAGCCAGCTTGATGTCAAAATGATTGAGAGGCAGACAGCCTTTCTGATTGGCTCGATTTATGACAGGCTAAAAAAAAATTGTTTTTTCAGTGACAGAGGCATTTATGCTTTTTTTTAGGACACCTATTTTAGTAATGTATATCACGTAGCAGTGATGTTTTATGCATACAATAACAGCACCTTTAACATCCTTTTAACAGCAACATGAAACTTCCAGCAATGTTAGTGCCCAACAAAAATGTTTTTAGCATGATTAGTATAATTACAAATGTGAAGTACAGTTTTCGAATCAGTCAGCAAATGAATGAATCTCCAAAATAATTAAGCACACTGAATCAGTTTTCTAAAACGGTATAGATGAGTATCAGGATTCAATGCAGTTTCATGTTACATGGAAAAAGAATCAAATGTTATGTCCCGACATACTCTGCATCACTAAAACATTTAAAGAGACACAGTACTCCCTGCCCGGGTTAATGCCGCAGGTGAGCATCTCACAGGGTTTGAGCTGTTACATCATTACTCCACATCTGCCAACGCTGGTCTCTTAAAATATTTTTGTGCTAATTCATTGCATGCATATGATTTATGCTATACAATCAGATAAAATATGCTTAAAACAGCAATAGCAATGAATAGGTAACGAGCTCTTCGAAAACGCAAACTGAGATAATAAATAGCTGGAAATGCAGTCATTTTTCAACTGTGCATTATCCAATGAATTAAAGCAATAGAAGAGAAGTGTATTTAGTAGACAGCAACGATTACCTGAACTTTAGGGTTAAAAGGCTCAATTCTTCTACTAAGGCTTTGGCTCTGGGTAAGTAAAGTGAATGAAAAACAACAATGAAGAGAAATGCAATAAAACTAATCTGAAATGACAATACCAGTTGTTAATGAAACACAAAGAAAGCCGAAAGGAGATTCAATCTAAAGACAATGACTGTCAGACATTTGAAGATACTGCATTGGAATATTTTGATTTCATTTACTATTTTCACTGTAATGCAATTAACTGCAATCTCTTGTTCAGAGATTGGGAAATCAGTGATGAGGTTTAATGCTCAGGACTCATTTAAGGACTGAATATTTCCTGTGCATTTTCTAGAGCAGCGTTTCCCCAAGTGAGGCCCACAACCCTCTAAACGGTTTCTTTAGTTCCATGAAAAGACTGAAATGTCATGTATTTTCTACTAAAAAGTCTCAATGGGCATCTCTTCACAAGAAACATCACTGTTTACATTGAATCTCCCATTCAGCAAAATACAAAGTAACAAGATTGTTATTTAACACACAAACACACGCACACACCATAGAGTATTAGAAATGATTGAATTCAGTGAGATACAGAACAAGAATATGAAACAACACATTTTTATTAATCTTAATAATACACCATTCATTTTGAGATTAGTGGCATTGACCCAAAACTACCCATCCATGTCTATTCATTTGTCTGTCTACCAAAAACTACCCATCCATGTCTATTCATTTGTCTAACTGTCTACCCAAAACTACCCATCCATCCATCCATTCATGTCTATTCATTTGTCTAACTGTCTACCCAAAACTACCCATCCATCCATCCATCCATGTCTATTCATTTCTCTAACTGTCTACCCAAAACTTCCCATCCATCCATTCATGTCTATTCATTTGTCTAACTGTCTACCCAAAACTACCCATCCATCCATCCATTCATGTCTGTTCATTTGTCTAACTGTCTACCCAAAACTACCCATCCATCCATCTATCCATTCATGTCTATTCATTTGTCTAACTGTCTACCCAAAACTACCCATCCATCCATTCATGTCTATTCATTTGTCTAACTGTCTACCCAAAACTACCCAGCCATCCATTCATGTCTATTTGTCTAACTGTCTACCCAAAACTACCCATCCATCCATCCATTCATGTCTATTCATTTGTCTAACTGTCTACCCAAAACTACCCATCCATCCATTCATGTCTATTCATTTGTCTAACTGTCTACCCAAAACTACCCAGCCATCCATTCATGTCTATTCATTTGTCTAACTATCTACCCAAAACTACCCATCAATCCATCAATCCATCTATATATCCATCTATCCTCTATCAATCTATCCATCTATCATTAGCCACCCTGCTTTCTAGATATCGGTATCAGCCACTGGAAAACCCATTTTGGTCAATCATTCGTGTAAGTCATTGATTTTTTCATCCAAACAGTATTACCTATGGAAAAACCTGCACTTCATTTGTTTTGCTTAAATCAACCAGCTTGTGCACCTTACACCAGAGTTTGTCATGTTCTACAAGCATGCTGGGTATTTTTACACACACATTGGGCTGCATGAGGCCTGACTGTAACCTGATCAGGTTTGAGAAGACTACGGCAGTTTTGCCTGATCACTGATCCAACGCTTTATCTCTGTTTAAAGTGGTTTAAGTGATTTTAGTCAGAATGAAACGGAAAAGTTGTGGAATTTCATACATTTTTCACCCCTTTCGCTTCCTGATGAAGACAGGAAGTTTTGTTAATGCTTGTACAGCAATTAAAGCACAAATGACGCAAATTACATGTGTAAGCAATGTTTTATCTATGTATTTTTCATTATTGTGATGTCAAAGAATGATGGGAAACGTAGTTGCATTGCACAAGCCTGAAAACCACTAGAATTTGGCAAACTTTATAGCTACTCTTCACTAAAATACGTACTGACCTAAATTTTACAGTTGCAATTAAACTTGTTTCTGATATGAATCCTTATTTGACATGGGGAAAAGACTAAGTTTTAACTTTCTATAATGCAAAACACATTTTGTCGCCTGCACAGGATGTGATTATTGTGAACTTACTGTAAGCTGTCCCGATAAGTACTGTGGGCCGTCCCGCAGCACTCCGTGGCTCATGGGAGACGTGATGGATATGGAGGGGCGCTCCATCTTCTGAGACTCAAATGAACTCGAACCTTAGAAGAGATTCAGTGTTAAGTATAAAAACACAAAACTATATATACACATATACACAGTGTTGGGAAGGTTACTTTGGAAATGTAATAGGTTACAGATTAGAAGTTACCCTATTTAAAATGTAATAAGGATTGTAACTATTTCAATTACTTTATTAAAGTAATGTAACTGATTACATTTGATTACTTTTTGAGTACTTTTCTAAATTTCTATTGAATGTTTTCAATGCTTATATTTCCAAACATTTAAACCAGGCAGGGTTAACATTACTGTAGTACTCAACGCTGATTACTGTCAGACTTTCAAAATCCTTCATCACTTGAATTAAGATGATAAAGACCTGGTTTCACAGACAGGGCGTTAACTAAGCCAGGATTAGGTCATAGTTCAATTAGGACATTTAAGTAATTTTTATAAACATGCCAAAGAAAAAAAACATTACTGGTGTGCATCTTGAGACAAAACAAGGGCACTGACATATTTTAAGATCAATCATTGCAAATTTCTTTCAGTTGAAACAGCTCAGACTTACATTTTAGTCTGGGACTAGGCTTAAGCCTTGCCTGGGAAACCATGGAAAAGTGTAATTTTAAAGCACAGCCACCACAAAATCAGACTTCAGCACCTCTTTTTACTTTGAGATCATTCTGAGGTTAAATACGAATTTAAAATCATAACAAGATATAGTTTAATAGCTATGATGTTGTTTTTGAAATCAAATCTTTGCATAGCTATGAAAGGAAACACTGGCATCTAACACTGCCTTGGAAAAAAAATAATAAAGCATATACATAAACCCAAATAGGAAATAAAACAGTTATCGAATAAGCATGTGTCCTATTCTGTGTCCTAAACTCCTGAAACATTGGTGTATCCTATTTTAAAGCAGTCAATGCAATTTGGGAAAGAAATCAATTCAATCTGTACGTGTGTGTGCGTGAAAATATTTCGATATAACCCCCTTTGTAATCATTAACATTTTCATAAGTAACTGTAATTAAATTACATAACTCTGTTACATGTAACTAGTTACTCCCCAACAATGTATTATATATAACGAGTGAAAAATTGAAGGGGGTCTGAATACTTTCCGTACCCACTGTATATATAAGTCTGGCAAGTAAACCAAAAAGCAGCTAAAGAAAGATATATCATTAATGTCTCACAGAATCGTATTGTTTATACATACTAGACTGAGAAAATGTACTCACTGGATTCCAGTTGTGAGTGTGTGCTTTCTGGTATCCTGGGGATATCGCTGCAATGACAGTGGCACAGAGAAATCAATGGCATGTACGTTACGTTTTAAAAAAAAAAATGCTTACACTCAGTTTTTGAGATTATGGCTCCATTTCTCAAAACTCTACACACAAAACACACACAACATGCAAAACGTAACACACAGTATTTTGCAAAAGCAAAAACACTTCTTTCAAAACAATTTTAACTCTTCTAAAAATGGTATTCTTGCATAGTAACTATGCACAAGCATAAAATAATTAGCCGCATAAACGGAAAACTACACACAGATGTGAAAAATGTAAAACACTACTCTCGTGTGTCTCTTGCTTGTTCAGAGTGCAGTGGAGTGCACAGGAGTGTCACAGCACTCGCACATACATGCATATGCACATATACACTCTATATACACTATGTGTGTACATCTGATGAATTTTACACAGTTATGCAACTGAACTAAATCAATACTGCACTGACTTGAGCTGTGTAATGACACTATTGACTTGTTAGAGCTGCTTTACAGCAGAATTTGATACTATTGTGAAGCTGCTGTGAAACAATCTGTATCGTATAAATTGCTTTAGAAATAAAGTTGTTTTCACACATGATCACTGGGTGTAGGTCATCAGTAAATGAGTGTGGCATTTAAATGGCAGTATTTCCCAAAGAGATGTTACTTCTGAATGATGTGTGTAATGTAGAGAACTGTTTAGAGTTTTGCAAAAAGTGTTCTACAATAGCAAACTGAGTTTAAAGCACGTAATGTGCTTGTAGTTTTGCAGACTTGGTCTAAAGATTAGGTATATGAGTGAATGGTTTCACTGAGTGGTCCTCAAGTACTACTTTTAGTGCCTAAGCAATTAAAAAAAAAACTGTAATAACCCTGAGCACCACATTAGTCTTGATATGAAGTTTGTGGCAGCAGCCCAAACTCACAATCTAAAAAGAGTTCACTTGGTCATACGCTCTTATTAATTACAATTAGGACGATTAGGAGGCTAAACTGAGGGCAGCGGTTTTGTTTGTTTGCTCATCTGAGCCAGCAGCAGGTGCTCTAAAGCGTGCTCATGTCAGACATTTTTTCCCCGATGTCCACTAGTAATGTTATGAACCAAGAAACAAAACAAAACAAAAAAAGTTTGGAAAGAGTCATTTTTGCAGATTATTTGTATTATTTTAATATTTTGAATTAAATAGGAACTTTTGAGTTTGAAAGTAGCAGCATGTTTCAACAGTATATTTTATCTGAAAATGGATTTCCCATGACATAATACCTTTGATACTATGTAAAGAAAGTCAAAAACATCTACCGTATTGCTAAAACAAACTATTATGATATAAAATTTCTAGGCAGATGGACCACAAGGGTCACAAGCATGTTAGTGCTATGATTAAAACCAATATCAATCACAATGTTGTTGAGGTCTATTCAGAAACTCACATGAAATTACAACACAAATAAGAACAACAGCAAATGTAATGTTTCTGGATCATATCAGACTTAATAAATCTGGTGATTTCATTAATTCTTTTTTATACTTTTGAGGAAGCGCATCATTAGACAGATTCAAACATGAGACTAATTTGTGAGCCTTTTTGACCAATTCATAAAAAAATTTCTTGCAAATCAGCACTGTAGGTTTGTTTCTGATTGCAGCTCATGAGGGAAAAAAAATTTCAATTTTTTTTTTTTAACCCAAACCGATTCAGAATATGATTTTCATCCGTTAACGATAACATCATGATTAATGATTTTCAATTGCTTCTTTATCAGTATCAGCATAATATTCCATGGTAGATGCATTTGTTGCATCTTTTGTATTCACAGTGTAACTGAATGTTTGTAAATGTACTTTCTGTTACGTTCACATGAAGACCAGTTTCATGTCACACTGAAGAACACTATAGAGGATGTCATACCCAATGGGTCGTGAGACCACTAGTTCCACCTGAGGCTCTGGCTTTGATTCTAAAATGATATTGTAAACTTCTTTAAATGTGGCTCCTTGCAACTGTCGCCCGTTCCACTCTAGGACCTGGTCACCTACGAAACAAGAAAATTAATCACCAAACTCTGCAAATCAAACACTCATGCTAGTATTCATACCAGATTTAATACAGTAACAAACTGTCAGACTAATAGTCCACTATTTAGAAGTCTGGGGTCAGTAAGATTTTCTTTTTATTCAGCAAAAATGTATTAAATTGATCAAAAGTGATAGTAAAGTAGCTTTAAACTTACATAGTTACAAAAAAATAAAAATTTGTTATAAATAGTTATTTTTGGCTTATTCTATTTATCAAAGATTCTTAAAAAAATATCATGGTTTCCACAAGAATATTAAGCAGCACAACTGCTTTCAACATTATTAATAATAAGAAGAAATGTGTGTTAAGCAGAAAATCAGCATATTAGAATGATTTTGAAAATTCAGTTGTCACAACAAAAATAAATTACATTCAAATTAAAATAAACTAATCAAATAAACAAAATAAACATTTCAAAATAAACTAAAAAAAGAACATGTTTATAGATTGTAATAATATTTCACAATAGTACAGTTTTTATTGTATTTTTGATCAAATAAATTCAGCCTTAGTGAGAATAAGGGACTTCAAAACAATTACCAACTCCAAACTTTTGAATGGTATATCAAATACTGAAACATAGCATGTACCTGGTCTGAGATGCCCAACTGTATCCGCTAAACTCCCTTTCCTTACTTTGGTGATGAATGCACAAAGTCGCCCAGACTCTGTCATCTTTCCCCCAACCACCTGCAAAAGACAAAAAAAAAAAAAAAAGTTTAGATAATGAACTAGCGATATAGTATATTAGTTTTTGCTTTTGTCCCAACATTTTTACCAAGAAATGCCAATGAAATTTCACTGGTATTGTAGGTTTCATGACTCTATAATGAAGGTTTCATGTTGTTAATGTTTAGGTTAGCTACATAAGCTCAATTTTATGTGAATATATTTAACAGTTCTTGTCTTTTTTTATTCATGACTGATTTTATTAAACTAGAGTTCAGAAAGGATTATCTCTTTCGAAATAAACTGCACAAGTTACACAAGTTCGAGGGTGTGTGTACGTTATTTTCTGTCCACGCTTTTGAAAAAACCGACTGTTGGAAAAGGCCTGGAGGTCTGCTCCATAAACCCCACATGACCAATCGCTCTGTGAGAATCATACAAATCCAAATCAAATCCCCACTAATGGCAGCCCAATGCAAACATACAAAGAAGATTACGAGCTGCCTCCTGGATAAAGATGGCTTTACATAATGAGTGGCATGGAGCCGAGGGCGATTGTGAGTGTGTGTGTGTGTGTGTGTGTGTGTTTGTGTTTGTGTGTGTTTGACAAACTGCTGCTGGTAACGGATATAATGCACACGGTAGCACTGAGCTGACACACAGTCAGCCATTCAGAAAGTTAGTTATCAGTAACGATTCTCTGTTTCTCTCCACTCCGCTGAACAATCCATGTAAGTGCTTTAACAACAAATACAAGCTTTGCATTTCTGCTTTTAAACCCTGCAAGCACACAGCCCTGTTTCCTTCCACTGTAAGAGCTTTACTGTTATTAACATTATATCAGTTAATGAAATTACGGTATTTAACTGTAAATTTAAGTTAAAACCGTAAAACCTAAAACGTTGCTACCGTATTTTTTAAGGTAAAATTCCGGCAACCACAGCTGCTGGTTTTTTACCGTAAATTTTACGGAATTTTTTTTACAGTGATGTTTTGACGCTCTTTGAATGTCAACAATAAATTACAATGAACCTTTTAGACTTTCTCAGTAAACATTTGTTAAAAGTAGTAAGCATTCACTCTTAAAAAATAAAGGTTCTTTATTGGCATTGATGGTTCCATGAAGAACCTTTAACATCCATAGAACCTTTTTATTGCACAGGTCCTTAAAAATATAAAAAGATTCTTCAGATTAAAATGTTCAGTAACACTTTATTTTAAGGTGTCCTTGTTACACGTGTTACATGTACTTACTACTATAACAATTAGTTATGCATAATTACATGCAAGTAACCCTAACCATATAGTAAGTACATGTAGTTAATTAATATTACTGAGTACTTAAATGCATAATTACACTAACAAGGAAATAAAGTGTAACCAAATGTTCTTTTAAGAACTGTTCACTGAAAAGTTATTTGAGGAACAAAAATGCATCTATTGCATTGCTCCAAAAAAGAAAAGGGAAAAAAAAAACTTTTGAACCTTTATTTTTAAGAGTATACTTTGTATACTTAGAGTGCTCATCATTGCAAGTAATAAAATTTTGTTCATAATTGATCAATATATTTTTTTTTTTATTTGATCCACTTCGAAAATATTTTTCCTTTCAATTCAATCAATTCCTAATGGATAAACAATCCCACTCTACAACTGTCTTGTCCAGTATACTAAGTACAATGGGTTATGAACATGAATACTTATGACTTGAACATAAATATCAACTTAACTTTTATGATTTTAACCCTTTAAAATCCATGGCCATGTTTAATTTCTCTAGAAGACCCACAATTGATATTTCTGTTTTTTAAAAATGGTAGGAAATATTTTTTTCTGTAGTATTCAACATAAATGTTGTCAGAGTTCGTATTAAAGGAATAGTCTAATAAAAAGGATTAGAATAAAAATAATATATATATAAGTTGAAAATGTACTCACCTTCAGGACATTCAAGATGTAGATTAGTTTGTTTCTTCACTGGAACAGATTTGGAGAATATCATAATATTTGCTTATAGAGCTGCTTTGGCCTGTTTTCACTTGTAAGCAGTGCTTGATCTGCACATTTTCTTTTTGGCTGGAGAAAGCAATATTATGGATGTAGGACTCGCATTTTAGCTCTTTTTTTTTCTTTTTTTTTTACAAACAGCTTTTCGCTTCACAAGACATTAATCGATGGGCTGTAGTTGTGTGGATTATTTGAGGATTAGTGTGAAGTTTTTATCAGCGGTTTGGACTCTCATTCTGACGGCACTCATTCACTGCAGAGGATCCATTGGTGAGCAAGTGATGTAATGCTAAATTTCCCCAAATCTGTTCCGGTTGAAGAAACAAGCTCATCTACATCTTTTCAAATTTCAGCTAATTTTAATTTTTGGGTGAACTATTCCTTTAAAGCAGGAACTCTCCTTCAAAATGAATTGCTGCCATTACTGAATTACACAACCACGTGGGATATCAAAATCACATAAAGAGCATGTCCACACAGGAGGCCAAGTGACTCACTTTCAGTCCCAGAAGAGCTCCAGAGTCACGGGGAACGCTGCCGTCCTTCATGCGCTTGTTGAGCAGAATCCTGCCGATGAGTCGATCTCCATCTTTGGAGGGCTGCCATGTGACCGGGTGCTGTCAGGTCAAAACCACAACAAACATCATTTCAGAACACACAGAAAGCTGCCAGTGCTGGTGCGGGGAAGGCTGAGATGAATTTCATCTGATTTATCGCACAAACTCTGTTGTGATTGCAGGTGTTTCATGGGAGCAAGCCACACGTCTGGGACAAATCAAATAATGTTTCCTAGAGGCTTAAGGGATTAGCTCCCCCAAAATGAAAATTCTGTCATCATTTACTCATGCACCTCATGTCATTCCAAACCTGTATGATTTTCTGTTTTCCGTGGATTGCATAAGGAGATGTTTTCCATACAACAAAAGAGTATAGTAAGTAGCAATTGACCAATATGAGTTTCTCCAATGTCAAATAGTCGAACCGGAAACTAGAGAGCAAAATGGTCCAAGTGACTTCTGTGCTTTATTCCAAGTCTTCTGAAGTAATGGGATAGCTTAGCATGAGGAACCAACTGAAATGTCAGTCATTATTGGAAGCTGAAATTCTTGTGCTCTCAAATCTAGAGGGCGAGTAAATGATGACAGAATTTTTATTTTTTGATAAACTATCCATTTAAGGATTTAGCTGCAGAAAATGTGTCTAAAAATGCATATATTTTTTTTTACATTTAATGAACGTCTCTATTATAATACAATATATAAATGCTCAATTTCAGATATGAAATCAGAGAAAGATTTATAGTAGTGATCTGGGTTCAATACAAGTTAAGCTATATGGACAAAATCTACGACATGCTGTCAAAAAAGAAAAAGAAAAAAGGAATCGTCCCTCAGTTGGTAAAACATACAAAAACTGCTTACAATAGAAAAATATAATGGAGGTCTATGGGGCAAGGCATTCCAGATGGTTTAAAAGCAGAAATGTGAAGCTTGCGTTTTTGCTAAAGTGCTTATATGACTTATTTCATACAAATTGGCTGTTTTCTGAGCTATAAAGTTGTCTAAATTGTCATTTTATTGGTGAAATGACATTTCTGCATGAATGAAGTTCTGCTTACATGTTACTGACGTTATTCCTATGGACACTGTTTGCGTCATGTGAAAATACACAAATTTGCACATATACTGCAAAAGTGGTTTTAAATTGTAATGCAAAAAAAACCACCAGAGACTTGCACATTAAGTTAGTAATTATATCACACTGAACAGATACAGTATATAATGTTTAAAGTGGTTATACTTCATAAACAGTAATGGTGTAATGCCATGCCCCATAAATTTCCATTTCTTATCATTTGTACATACAGGTTTGGGGTCTGTAAAGTTTTTCAATGTTTTTGACTCACCAAGACTGCATTTATTTGATCAAAAATACAATAAAAACAGTATTACTGTGAAATATTATTACAATCTAAAGTACCTGCACTGAAAATTGCAGTCGATTACACAAATAATTTTAAAGAAATTGCAAGTAAAACACTGAAATAAACATGAAATTTTGAAGTAGAAAGAAACAGTATTTTCTTGTAAAACTACCTCTAACAGTATTTTCTTGTTTAATTAGCAAATTCGAAAAACAAAAATGGGTAATACTTTACAATAAGGTGTCATTTGTTAACATTTGTTAATGTATTAACTAACATGAACTAACAATGAACAATACATTTGTTAAAGTATTTATTAATCTTTGTTAATCTTAATTAATGAAAATACAGTTATTCATTGTTAGTTCATGTTAATTCACAGTGCATTAACTAATGTTAACAAATACAAATTTTGATTTTAATAATGAAAAAAAAAAAAAAAATGAAATTAACATTAACTAATGTCAATAAATGCTGTAGAAGTATTGTTCAAGCTTAGTTCATGTTAACTAACTACTGTTAACTAATGAACCTTATTGTAAAGTGTTACCCAAAAAATTCCTGTGATGCATAGATGGATTTTCAGCATCATTACTTCAGTTTTCAGTGTCACATGATCCTTCAGAAATCAATCTAATATGCTGATTTGCTGCTCAAGAAGATTTCTTAATATTAACAAAGTTGAAAACAGTCGCTTAATATTTTTGCGGAAACCATGATTCTTCACGAAAGTTCAAAAGAACAGCATTTTTTTTTTTTATAACATTATAAATGTCTTAACTGTCACTTTTGATCAATTTAATGTATCCTTGGTGAATAAAAGTATTAATTTCTTTAAAAACTCTTTTTACTGACCCCAACATTTTGAATGTTAGTGTATTCTCACAAAATGGCCAAAATTATTTTCTGTTGTAGTTTAGGAGAGCTTAACATGTACTGAATCCAGAACATTCATAAATGCTTCATAAATATCTTTTTCTTTTCTTTTTTAGCTAAAGAGGCTCTAGGTGGCGTAGAGTTTGTGTGATCTTCTTGCTGGGAGTGACATGCACCCATCACATGCAGAGAAAAGCCCCCCAATGGCTACAGATCCCGCCTCTATCACCACAGCCGAACCCCAACACCACATCCAGCAAACACAAGCCCGAATAATGGAAGAAGAAACAGACGATGTTCAAACTGAAAGTGAGGAGAACAGCATGGAAAGGCTCACGAACACAAATGGTGGAAACCAGTGATCCATAACATGGAGAGCAAAGGAATATGACAGTGGAAACGGAAAAAAGAAAAACAAACTTTGTGGCAAAACGAATCCTAGCTGGCCGTCTCTGAGCGGGTGAGCGTGTGTGTTTCGGAGCGAGTCTCCTGGAGTGTGTGTAGTGGGAGAGGGGGGAAGGAGTGAGGATTCAAACCAGTGAGGGGGTCTGGGGCCCTACCGCGGCTGACGGGGCCACTAACACGGCAATAAGACACAAGGCTGAGAGGGCATGCATCTGACAGGGGAACCCACATTCTCTAAGTGCCATGACAAAACACACAGTCACATGATGGAGTGATTCGCTGCTATGTCAACTACGGCAGCTGCGGCTAAGCAGCAAACGATAACAGAGCAAGCAAGAGGCTCCCCAGCTACTGCCACAGAAGAACAGAAATTTAAAACAGGAAAACTTGTTTTTTAAAACTGAAAAAAAAGGGATAGTTCCAAACCCGTATGACTTGCTTTCTTCCATGGAACACAAAAGGAGAACGTTTATGCTGCTCTTTTCCATACACTGAAAGCATATTTTGACACTGATGATGCTGAACAGCATTGGTTTTTGCGAGCCACATGACCAAACGTGAGATGCAGAATTAAATATGTTAAAGTGCAAACTAAATGTAAGAGATTTAAAGGAGAATAAATGTGAATGTAACTTAAATTTCGGTCAGTTTCACACAAAAATCAACCATATATACTACTGTTCAAAAGTTTCTGAAAGTCGTCTCTTATTCTCGCCAAGACTGCATTTATTTGATAAAAAATAGAGTGAAATCAGTAATATTGTGAAATATTATTACACTTTAAATTATTACACTTTAAAATAAGTTATTTATTCCTATGATGTAAAGCTGAATTTTCAGCATCATTACACCAGTCTTCAGTGTCACATGATCCTTCAGAAATCATTCTAATATACTGATTTGCTGCTGAAGAAACATTTCTTATCATTATCAATGTTGAAAACAGTTTTGCCTCTTAAAATATTTGTGGAAACCATGTTACATTTTTTCAGAATTATTTGATAAAAACATTCAAAAGAACAGCATTCATTTAAAATTAAAATCTTTTGCAACATTACAAATGTCTTTACTGTCACTTTTGATCAATTTAATGAGTCCTTGCTGAATAGAAGTATTAATAAAAAAAATGCTTAGTGACCCCAAACTTTTCAATGGCAGTGTAGTTTTAGAAGATCTGAAATATTGCATTCAAGTCGTACAGAACATTTTCCTTTTTGGAGCTTGACAGCTCTTGGTCACTGTCTGCTTTTATTTTATGGAAAATAGCAGCTTGGACATCTTCAAAATATCTCTTTTTGTGCTCCACAGAGGAAAAAATAAAGTCACATGGGTTTGGAACTACACAAATGTGAATAAATTATGGCAGAATTTTCATTTTGGGTGAACTATCTCTGCAACATCCAAAAAGAAGATCTCACCTAATATCAGAACAAAGATCATGTGAAAATGGAACAAAATGAATACATGAAAAGTTCAAACAAAACAAGGTCAAATGAAATCAAACCAATGCAGGCTAAAGAGGTCCCAGTACCTTCTCACTATGGCTATGCTCCTCGTTTAGGGTAGTGCTACTGCATGTATCAACCCCCGAATCTTTAACCTGGGGTTCACACCACTCAGCATCTTCTTCCAAAGAGTGGCCCCCAAAGCGTACCATTTTCTTTTGCCCCTCAGATAAGGTGTGTGACTGCTCAAAAGTTTGTCTTTTTCCCCTTTGACTGTCCCCTACAGACATGGGATAAAAACAGAAAGAAAAAAAAAACATGCAGAGTTGAAAATAAATCAAAAGAACAATGGAATGACAAAGAGTGACAGAGAGAGGGAGAAAACGACAGAGAGAGAAGAGCCAGAAAGAGAGAGAAAGAGGTGGGACATTAGGCTCCGCATGTCTCACCAAAGACATGGAGGAAGCATCGCTGCTATGCCACGTTGTATGATCCCACCAGTGGCCATCCAAATCTCCTGCGAGTGCCACACACACACACACACAATCACAGCACACACATACAGCAGAGGTAGTTTGTGAGGACAAAGGAAAGAGAGACATGTGGGGAAAAGAGACACTAAATTCACTCTCATACTGTTAAATGTGTTAGTCGCACTCATACTTACACTCACACTTACTGTACATTGATTGATACGCTCATAACCATAGTTATGCAACCTATGACAATTTAGGCGAGGAACCAAAAAAAATGACTTGTACCTGTTAACTGCAACAAAACAACAGAAGAGGTCAAACGTTTGCAGTGCTCAAAGAAACTTGGCTGAAGTCGCTATCTTCTAAGTCTGACTAATAAGATCTGAAAAGATCTTGGGACTGGGCTGTAATACACTTAACTTGAAGAAAAACACAAACACACACACACACAGTGTCGGAGTTGCCTGACTTGGCTTCAGTTTAAAATGCAGTCGGTGCATTTTAACTTTGTTAAACTGTGCTACTACAATTGGAGAGATATGACATCACAATCAGATATCAAAGATTTAAATATAGACCTTGAACACCAGAGAAACAAGCACACAGCCATCTTTAGAATTTTGTCTTTGAGCTTCGGCTTTTTGCGGTAGCTCTGATATCTATAGCATCGCTGTTGAAGTAGATTAACTTATTGTAGAGTTAATGAGCGTTATCAAGAACATTGTCATGTTTGAAGCGGATGTCATAACAAATGTCAGTAGACTGGGACGTTTTTAAAACGAACAGTTAATTTATAAATTCGCACGACCTGATCTTTACACTGTGGAAATACAAGCCAGAAGACAACGCACACAATGCTGAAAAGGGGCGGAGCTACATAAAGTCTATAACATAGGGCTTGATCAGATCAAATATGACATCATCCAAACACAGCATCATAAATTAGATACAGCATATATCTATAACAACAGATATGATATCAGCAGTGCTGTTTTTGTATTTTACATATTATTATAGTTTATGAATATTTTGATATTTTATCATTTTTATATTTTCTGTTTTCAAACTTTCTGTTTGTTATTTTGTTATGTGCTTTCATCATTTATTTTAGTTTTTAAATTTTTTTTTCATTTGGTATGGTGTATATATATATATATATATATATATATATATACATATATACACTTTTTGTATTTATTTTTATTTCAGCTTTAGTACTTCTACTTGAAGTAGTATTTCAACTACTTCAACTTATTTTTAGTTAGTCAACATTTATAATTTTGGTTTAAGTTTTTCAAGTTTCTCATCTAACATCTCTATTTTATTTGAGCTTTATTTTAATTAACGAAACTGTTTAAGTAAATAAGTAATTAAGTAAATATAATACCATGCAATATTTAACATCATCAGACATGCTAGCGCTCAATCAGCTTGACATGGCTTAAACATCAGATGAACAGAGCAGCCAATCATGCAGCAGCTTTAATAACAGACACTGATCTACACATGGGACTCATTACATTAAACTTCAAAACACCAGTGCCGGTGATAATGACAGAGAACTGCAGACTTATGAGAATTAATGCACTAAAGAATAAAGGGGTAATTCTTGTAAAAGCTCTTGTATAAGCTTTAGGTTTTGTATAAACCTAAAGCTATTCTTGTAGTACTCCACTGAATGCTCTGGTCCTTGAGAAAGTCATAGAGTATAATATACAGTACTATACACGGCAAAAAACACGGGGAAAAAATTAATTAAAATGGGTTTAAATATATATATATTTTAAAGTGCTGATTTTTCATAATCTGAAGTATTTCATCTCATTTGATTATTTAAAACTTGATATACGCAAACCAAAAGATGATAATTCTTAAATTATAGATGGATCTCACATAAATAACTCACCCTCAATTTGTTCTTAACCTGCACCTGAAAGTTGTTTTCTTCTGTTGAGCACAAAAGAAGATTTTTTTGAAGAATGTCTAATATTTATGTTTCCAATTTTAAATGTACCAGTTACAGGCTTGATGATAAACCAGGATGAAAAGTCCCAACGATTAGTATTACCATTTCATAGTTTTATTATCATTAAAACCATACAATAAAAACAAACAGTTGCTGGTAGCCATTGACCTTCATAGTATGGAAAAATTATAATAATATGGAAGTCAATGGCAACCAGCAACTGTTTGGTTAAGTACACTCTTCAAAATATCTTCTTTTGTGTTCAACAGAAGAAAGACATTCATACAGGTTTGGAACGAAATAAGTGAGTAAATTATGACCGAATGTTCATTTTTGGGTGAACTATAGGGTGAAAGCAGGTAATGCAGGTAAATTAGGCCATGTTTTTTCCATTTATCTCAATGACGAAAGTGGCCCAATTAACCTGGGACAAAACAATAACAGTAGCTACACAATGCTATTCTTCTGGAGCACTGCTGCTGTCTCTCTCTCTCTCTCTCTCTCTCTCTCTCTCTCTCTCTGTGTAGTGAAAGCGAGAGCGCAGCGCTCTTAGCAGCTAGGTTCTGGGATCTATTTCTCTCTCGCTCTCACGTTCTCGGCAGAAGGCGGAAGTGCTGATTCAGGCCTGAGCACAGCTCCCAGGCCACTAGCACACGGCTCTCCATCACTCTGACAACTCAATAAAAACCCAGTGTAAACTATTAATTGGATCATTAATTATTGATGCTGTTTTTACTACGCGTGAAGGGGACAGGAGAACAGAGAGAGACAGACTGAAGAAAGCGACATGGCGTACAATCATAAAATGAGTATTGATATTTGTCTCCATGAAGGTTTCGAATAGGACAGCTTTGCCTGAAACTGAAGATGCGATCTGATTGATTCCCCTTGGCATGACATGGAAAACGGGAAATTCCCGAAGAATGAATGCTATTCATTTGCATGTGCTGTATGCAGACCTGATTCTCTATTACGTCAACATTTTTAGTGAACCCAAGACAGAAAAAATATATACATTTCAAACAATTATGAATTTAAATGTGCTATATTTACATTTCTCATTTTAAATTTTAACATTATTTACTATGTAAATATTTACTATTTACAATCAAATAAATATTTCATATTAAAAATCATTTCGGATTAAAAAACATAATTCGGATGGATGGATGTGTCATCTGGTAAAGCACCACCCCAAATGTTTTCTAATCACACATGCTTTTGACCATTACACAATTCGGCATGAATCGTACGAGGTTTTTTGGCTGCTTTGAGAGCAGGTCTGAATGCAGAGTGAGCCGAGAGCCAATCACAGTGACTTATTCCGATCCGAAAACAGGCCTGCAGCAAGAGAATACCATGGTAACCTGCTTTCACCTCATTACATCTGATCTTCAGACAGTCAGACGGCAAATCAAATAACTTCAAAACCTTTATTCAGAACAGGAAGCCCGAAATATAAACTGTCTGCTAGTCTGCTCTAACAAAACAAAGAACAACCAGTTCATGGTTAAAGTTGATCTGTACTAGTGTCCAAAGACATCAGATGTCAAAAGTGACATCCAAGTTTTGGATATTGTGTTTAATGCAGTATTTAAAGCAGCTTTTTTCCCAATGTTAAAATTCTTTCCTACCCAGTTTAATATACTATATTGGAAGATTGTAACCCTGTGGAAATGTCCAAACCCTGCTCTCACTGCATCTGAATAAGTGTACTTCCTTATTATACTGTATAGTATGCAAAAAGCAGCACATCAAATTAAAAGTATGTCTGAATATGCAGTAGTCATGAAAATTTACACCACCATTCAAAAGAGGTCAAAAGGTCAGTAAGATTTTTCAAAAATGTTTTTAAAAGAAGTGTCTTATGCACACCAAGGCTCCATTTGTTTGATCAAAAACGCTGTAAAAACAGTAATATTCTGAAATATTAGTACAATTTAAAGTAACTGTTTTCTATCTAAACCCTCTGGGGTCTGAGGGGGTTTTGGGGTCCTGGAGAAGTTTTGACATGCCCTGACATTTGTGTTTTTTTTGTGCCGCTAAATATTTTTGTGATTTGTTTTTTCAGGATTATTTAATAGAACGTTCAAAAGAACCACATTTATTTGAAAAGGTCATTTTTTGTAACATTATAAATGTATTTACTGTAAATTTACTGCATCCTTGCTGAATAAAAGTGTTCATTTCTTTCAAAAATAAATAAATAAATGACCCAAACCTTTGAATGGTTGTGCAATTCCAGCTGATGCCACTAGTGGTGCATAAATATATTTATATTTCATTACGTTTGTGTCAGTAACGTGAGTTTAGCAGAGACCAGCAGCAATGAGAAAAGCTTTAGACTATCATAGGAAAGTCTGAAATAATCAATAATAATTCACTTCAGATTTTGTTGCATGCCACATTTTAAACCACTAGCATCACCAAACAAAATTACAAATACTCTGTCCATCTGCTATTGGTCAGACAAACAGATAGCCCCACCCCAAATTTACACCATTGGCTGACCACTGCTGCTATGCCAGGCAGATCAAACAAACAGAAAAAAAAAAGTTTACACTTTTCATGGAAATCAACCTACTTGTAGTTGTCTGAACTAGCACATTAAACGGTGATAGAAGAGAGTATTTTAACATTACATTACAAAAAATAAATAAATGAATAAATAAAATGACCCACACCGTGAAAAAAATGTGTGTATTTAAATAAGCTGAACCAATAATACAATGATGAAATCCAGTAGAATGACTGATTGTCTGGTTGTAATCATGCAGAAACGCTACTATCCCTGTGCCGTATCTCCACTGCGCTCGGCTCTCATGTGTGATAAAGCTGACGGGAAAGGCAGTCTTATCTGGCCTGATGTGCTCTCCCCTCCTCCCTAAAACTCACCTGACCTTCAGAGAGAGCATTACTCCTCTCCTCTGGTTATAAGTGTAGCTGTGAAACCTGGAAAATCAGAACATCAATAATGTAGAACTGTATGCTGGGTTTTGTCCTCGGGATGCTTATATAAGTGGCTCGGACCGAGTTGTTCTCTCTCCAGTTCTCTATCCCGCCTCCATCATCCGGACCCATTCATGCAACTCTGTTCAAAAACCTTACTGTTTGTTGTTTACACAGTAAATAAAGTGCTGAGATACTCAATTAATTCCAATACATTAGCATGACATGTAGCTAACTTGATACTCTAATACGCATAAAAACGGCATTACTGTATGAATGCACACTGCCAAACAAAAAATATATACAAATACATTAAGGTGCATTTGATTATTTTGTTTCACTGTTAAAAAAAGCATCACATTTCACCTTAATTTAAATCGGCATAAATTAAATGCACTATAACAAATAGTGCCATGATGTAGAAATATTTCACAATTGAAATAATATATTCCTGGCTACATAAAATAACAATGTAACATTATGTAACATAACATAATAAATATAATTTTAATTAGTTTTAATTTTTTTATTATTTTGGGATGCTTTTTAAATATTACAAATATTTGTCATCCATGATTATTTTATTGCATACAGAACAGATAATGTGATAAAAGGGCATTTATTGAGATAAAGTGAGTAGTATTCAGCTGGTCATGTGATCTTAACATGCCGTACCATAAAACATCTGTTTCTAGGCCACCAGTATGACAGAAGTCTTCAGGTTTCTCAAGCATACTGCTCATTTCTTTAGGTGTAAAACTGAATAAATAAGTGCACTTCTAACATTAATCCTTATCTTAATATTTTTCAAAATACAGAATCATCTCATCTCTCTTCCTCGCATTTTCTCTCTTTCCTCTGTCTCTCTCTTTCCCACTCTATCCCTCTGTTATGTAACACAGCCCATTACATCTGATCTGAGGGAACCAAGACAGCAATATCTGTCACTGGAGGACAGCCGAGAGAACACAACACACACACACACACACACACACACACACACAAATATACAAAGGTAGAAAGCAAGTCACAAGTCATACATACTGTAAATGAACACCAGTGTTGGAGAGTAACTAACAAGTAATTTTAAACAGCTGTGGAAATAATCAAAAACCATTTTCTAAACTGTGAATATCTAATTCATTCCAGTAAACTGGTTTATTTGGACAGTTCATGTGAATGAACCAGCTCAAAACAAAGTGATTCACTGATTCATGTCCTTTTTATGTTTTTTTTTTTTTATAGCTACATATTTAGATAAACACAGCAGTTCAGCATTAAGTTTTCGACTTTAATGTAGGTTTTTTTTTTTTGGTAGTAACTGCTTTTTTTGTAATTTAAATGAAGTTGAATTTCTTTATATAGTGAGTAGCATGAAGCTTGATAATCTACAGTTTCACTGTCAGACACGCACAATCACTCCTCTTGAAAGAAACACACACAGGTCTCTGCTCACACTTCCTAACCGCTCACACGACACAGGCCATTCACACACACTGTGAAACATCAGCATCAATCAGAGGTTATCAGCATATGAAATAATAAATAATATAAAAAAAATATCAAATATTAGCAACAGCTTTAAACTGATCGCACTACAGCTTTACTGTATTAAAGGCAGGGTATGTGATTTTTAAAAAACACTTTAGAAAACTGATTCGGGCCGAATAGCAAAACAAACTTGTAGCCAATCAGCAATAAGGGGCGTGTCTACTCGTTATGTGGAGGAGAGAGCTTTCAGTGCATGGGACGAACATTAGCCGAGCCGAGCGACAGAAAGATAGAGATGGCGGATAAAAAACAAAAGAGGAAAACGTCTGCGGAACGATAAGGCAAGAAGTAGGACCCGTGTAAATATCGGATCAGCTTTCCAGCGCTGGAGAGAACTCAAGGAGCGGAGGCCTGCGATCGGACGCCGAGGTTGCTTTGTTTCTTCTCAATAGGTGAGTAACACCGTGTCTACAACAGCTAAAGTCTGCCTACACCGGACGCGATCAAACGACCGTTGAAAACCATTTGAAATGTATGTCAGCACGTCATAAATAGAACCCGGCAGCAGTTTTCTGTCTGGGATTTGTTGCGCCGCGCCGCTCACGTCCGTAGACACGGTGTAACATTGGTTTTGCTTTGTTTCACAGAACTAATCGTTGCCTGGGTTGCGTACGTATATGTGGGGCGGAGCTATCAAAATAGGGGCAAGACCCTTTTGGGGTAGGGCCGTGTTTGTTTTGGTGATTTCAAATATCAACATTGGCTACCAGAAATCACTTACTCTGCCTTTAACATGCACTACAGTTCAAACATATGGGGTCAGTAAAATTTTTTTAAATATTTTTTTATTCATATTTTTATTCAGCAAGGATGCATTCAATTCAAGACCAAAAGTGACAGTAAATACTAATAATGATACAAAAGATTTACATTACAAATAAATGCTGTACTTTCTAATTATTTAAAAAAAAATCCTTGTATGTATCAAAAAATGTATCACGGTTTCCACAAAAATATTAAGCAGCACAACTGTTTTCAACATTGATAATAATAATACATGTTTCTTTAGCATATTTGAATTATTCCTGAAGTATCATGTGACACGGAAGTTGAAAATTTGATTTGTCATCAGAAATAAATTGCATTTTAAAATATATTAGAAATCAAATAGAAATCAGTAATTTTAAATTTCAATATGTCACAATATTACTGTTTTTACTGTGTTTTTAATCAAACAAACACAGCCTTTGTGAGCATAAAAGACTTCTTTCAAAAATGCAAAAAAATCTTACCGACCCCAAACTTTTAAATGGTAGTATACATACATATATAAATTATAAAAAGCTGCATTACCTTTCTCGCTCACAGACTCACTCTCGATCTCCACATCCTCACAGCTGGTGTACTCCGGTGTAGTGGCCAGTTCCTCTTCCGAGCTGCTCAGAGACACCTGCCTCATTTTGCCGCCCCTCTTCGTCTTGTGAGGTTTGGGCGGCGGCGGCCTGACGGACTCTGATTGGTCGGAACTGAGCGAGTCGTTCCGCAACATGCTCTCCATCTTTTCTCGTTTACTCTTCCTTACGGCCGAGACGGGATCCAGGTGCTGCTGCCTGTGGAGGGAGTCCACGCCGGGTGGACTGTGGTTGGACCTCCAGTGGGTGTGTCCGGGATCTGGTGAGTAGTGGGGACCCCGCAGGGGCCCCAAGGGCTCCTCCATCTCCATGTACGCCAGGGAGACATCACTGTGGCGCCGTTCGTGCCTGAATCTCGAAACCTCCGCATGCATGCGCATCTGTTCCTCGTAAGGTTGTGGTTTGATTGGGTAGCGGGCCAGGTTTGGGTCACTGCGGTAGCGGTTCTGGTACTCCTCCTGCCGTTGCCGCTGAAGCTCGTGCTCGCTGAGAGGCGGGCCATCGGGCAGGAAGCCGGGTTCAGGTGGATACTCTTCCTGAGAGTGCCAGCCGCCCCGTCGAGCGCGGTATGCACTCCGTGCTACCTCTGCGTCCTCGTAGAAGCGGCCGTAGCCTCCCCGCCATTGGCGGTCTCCGGCCCCGTAGTCAGACGGCGATCGTGGCATGCCGCCCGCCCCTGGGGCATACTGCGAACGCTCTGCCTTCTCCTCCCTTTGGTCGTATTTTTGGTTTGGATCCCTGGTTGCTGATGGACTTCTTTTCCTGTCAGTCAGAAAAAAAGAGCAAACATTGCTATAGGAATTGCAGATACATTTCGGAACACAACAACGTATAAAATTGACCTTAGGGCTTTTCACACTTGAAATGGTTAATCCTGGGTCATTCAAAATCCTGGTATCTTGTTTAATGTTTCAAACTGCTCATACTTTACCTAGGGTTAAAAGGATAGTAAACCCAAAAATTAACATTTTACTTTTATTTTCTCACCTTCAAGTTGTTCCAACCTGTACAAGCTTCTTTCTTCTGTTGAACACGAAAGTAAATATTTTGAAGAAAGTTGGTAACCAAACAGTTGCTGGTAACCATTGACTATCATAGTAGGGGGAAAAATACTATGGAACTTGGAAGTCAATGGCAACCAGAAACAATTTGGTTAACCGGCATTCTTCAAAATATCTTCTTTCTTTTGTGTTCAACAGAAGAAGAAAAACTCATACAGGTTTGGAAAAACATGAAGATGAGTAAATAATGATAAATGATCCACAATTTCTAGTGTGAAGAAAAAGTTTGTTTTCAAATTAGTTTCTTTGATACACCTTTAAAAAGACCATACATTTTCGATATCCAATCAATTCCTGATGGATAAATCAAGTCCCATCCTACATTTTTTTTTCTAGTTCAGTATGCCGTTTCTTGTAATACTTTGGATTATATTAGAAAAATGGTTTGTAAACAAGCTTTCACATTGTCATTACATAGACTATAATCAATATTCGATCTTTCAAAATCAGCATCAAAATCTTGTAATAAAACAGCAGCATCTAACTGCTCACTGCAATTTCTTTTAAAAACAAGCAACATCTCATTTTAAAACACATGCTGTTTTTACAAAAATAACCTGCCGCTAATGTGGTTACAACAGTGCTGGCTGTATGTGTCGGAAAAGACAAATGACACCAGTGTCCCCGGCATATGAGTTTCATCTTCAGAGGGAATAAGAGGCTTTGGCTCCTGGGAAGCCCAGAGAGATGCAGGAGGAAAAACTACATCTATACTGAAGGGTAAAGTTTAGAGCCTTGAAAAGATACAATCCATCCACTGCTCCCCTATCTGTGTCCATATAACTTGGGTTTGTGGATGTATTTCATTGATAAGCACATGGAAGAAGCTGTAATGTACACTAACAAGGGAACATCTGTGGTCTAACAGTTAACCATCTAATCCACAAATGTGTATTACACAAACCGTCTGCCACAACAAAAGCTTCCATTCTCCCAAAAAGCATCATAAATCTTTTATTTCTTTTATTATTTATTTCTAATTGCTTCTCCTACACAACAGTACATGATATGTTTCCTAGAGTTTCCAAAAGTCAATACAAAAATTACCAAAGTTTCACATCAAATTTTTTTGAAAACAAATATGAGTGAAATTTTCTGTATGAACTTAAACATTTCTCATCAAATTCTTAAATGAATTCATCTGAGCTAAATCTCAATATAACCTCAAACATTTCTCATTAAATTCTTCTGCAATCAAATAATCTGAGCAGTCTCAAACAATTCACATGAAATCCTTCTCAAATCAAATAATTTTAGCAAAGTCTCAACATGGACACAAATATTTCTCACCGAATTCTTCTCAAATAAATTAACCGGAGCAAAGTCTCAATATGAACTCAAATATTTCTCATCGAATTCTTCTCAAATCAATTCATCTGAGCAGTCTCAACATGAATTCAAACAATTCTCTTTTTTTTTTCCAAAACGATTAATGAGCAATCTCAATATGAAACCACATTTTTGTCATCAAATTCGCAAATCTGAGCAAAGTCTCAGTATGAACTCAAACATTTCTCATCAAATAATCTGAGCAAAGTCTCAATATGCACTCAAACTTTTTTCTCATATTGAATAATATGAACAAAGTCCCATTGTGAACTCAAACATCTCTCATCATATTCTTCTCAAATAATCTGAGCTATACTATCCACATTCGTTTTTTTTTTACTACAGTTCTAAACTATTACTGTATGTCAATAATTATCAATTTTTTTATTTCTCAGTAGGAATTTTAGGAGAATGCTGATACTCGAAATGAAACTGAGAAATCTGTTACGTTTCCTGAGCTATGAAAGAGCAGCTTCTGAGCATTAAACGCAAATATGAAATCACAACAAATACCACATCAGACCTAAACATACTGAACGTTCTTATGACCTGGATATGAAGTTAGTGCACTAGCTAGCGACAAGAACACCACAGTTCAACAGCAGCTATCTGTATTTCTGCAGGGTGCTGTGATCTTTAGTGTGCTGTTCAAGGGTCTGGAGCGATCTGAGAGCTGTTTTTGAGCGTGTACATGCACTGACTGATTAATGATCGTCTCTCCCACATCCTCTGGGCTCTGCTCAGGGGTTTTACTATGGCCGCCGTGTTCCTGATGCATTATTCAACAGCAGCCTGACACAGTCGTGCACCATTCACAAATCAAGTGCAGCAGATGCCTGTTTGTGTTTGGGATCGTGTGTGAGGAACAGGAACGTGTGTTTTGAAATGTAGAAACCTAATATTCATGACAATATACAGCCAGCATTAGTCAATATCACAAGTTCCAACCAGGAAAGTTAGATTAGCTACACACACACACACACACACACACACACGCAATATGCATATCGCTACAGCTTGCAATATTTGGGGCCATGAACAAAAGACAAAGAGAAAATCACTCACTGCTCTTACCTAAATAACTTTTGTAGCTTAAATAAGTATCAGTGCATATTGAATTCAAAGAGTAAATACTAAGCTGTGTTTTATTTTTGCTTTTTATTATTCAGTTCCTAAACTGATGTTAAAACGATTACACTAATGTTAAAATGACATTTTTATGTAATGCTCGAGTAAAACACATACGGTTCACTTTCAGAAGTTGTTGTAGGGGTGCTTTCTTATTAGAATCAGAATCAGAATGAGCTTTATTCACCACTTAAGTGTGCGCAAACACAAGGAATTTGCTGTGGTTTTACAGGAACTCTTGGTACTAGGGCTGGGCAAAAAAAAAAATCGATTTTTCGATATATCG